TCACATGGATTATCAGCATTGCCAATTTTTTTTAATCTCAGGATGATTCCTGTAGTTAACAGAGTGGATATGATTGAAACCAGCTGACAGACAATTTTGGCAATTTTTTTTAAACTCTAACTTTTCAAAAACCTTGACTTAACTTATTACCGGCAACCAGCTCATGTCTAGACAAACCATAAACAACTCTGACAATCAAGAGAAAAGCTCCCTGCACAAAAGCGAGGGCTAAAAGCCGAGACCAAATGTCTGCGGTGTTCCATCATGAGGCGAGTTTGCATTACAAACAAAGCAAGACTCCACAGAAGAAATAATTTAGTGTGCTCAAGAAGATTTCTAAAACCCAATATCAGAAATGACAACTTTATGGCAACTGAAAAAGCAATGTAAACAAATTTCAAAAACACCACTGTCTTCTCTGTATTTATTTGAGACCAAGTACAAAACTCTCCTATGGAATGATGTCACAGGATTCAAATGTTACTCAGCTTTTCCTCACACAAATCAAAAGGGTGTACTCATGTTTGAAGATATTGACACAGAACCATTTATTTTGTGGGGAGCAGATTTTTTTTTACTGAATCAAGTGGAAGCCAAATCACACTCTGTCAGTATTACAACATCCTGGTTTTGTTGTAAAGAATTCATTTTGGTGAACTAACTTCTGCCGCATGAAAGACCAGAGCTAAACTATGAGACTGAAATGGATAAGGAGGTCCTGAACCACTATAGAGCAAAAAAAAAAAAAAAAATCCTGTATTGTCAATAGCAACTGGAAAACTTGGTACATTTAAAACTCGACTCTCAGATTCCAAACTGCTCTTGCTAAAGAGAAGGTGATGAAATAAGTTCGCATTTTTCGAAACACAAACCAAAATCTCTACAAATCCGGAATTTTATATGTTGTTTGTTATACTGGTGTACTGTGTTCCTTTGATATGTGTGAATAATAGATGGCGCAACCTTGACCATATCAGCTTAAGAGAAACTTTGTGAAAGGGATACTGAACTGCAAGTCGTTGCCCTTTGACCCTATGATCTCATCGAGGGAACCATCACACATCATTCTGATAACAGCTTACATCAGCAGCGCTGCCTTTGCCAATGATGAGGCAGATAGCGAGCTCTTTTACACACTGTTATGTCACAACAGCAAATTTAAGGCCAGCAGTCTCACCTCTTCAACTGCAATAGCTTCAATGATTTCCATTATCTTTCACTCTTCTGATATTTTACTATTAACAGAAACATGGGGGGGAAAAGAGACCAAAAAATACACAGAGGGAAATAAAATATTAAAACCATCAATATTTATTTTAAATAAGTGTATCTCTAATGGTATCATTGACATAAAACTCACACCATATGATGGTAATATACCAAGTACCCCAAAAGTACAAATAAATCAACATAATTAAATGTAGAAATTATATCTAGAAGGGAGAAGAAAAATGTACTGAACACATGAAAAACACAAGCTACACAATTAGATCAGTGGATAGGTTGGAATAATATTCCAGAAAAAAAAAAGCAATATTAGGGAGCAACAAAAACTTGAACTCTTGAAAGCATCAGTCTAAGACTTTTCTTGTCCACCCATTCTCCTATATACTACCATCCAGAATCTCAAGCATTTACTTTCAGATCACGAGCTCCCTCCCTCCTCCACAACACCTGGAACTCCAGCGATGTCCTCCTCCTCCAATCTTGTCTTTCTCAAATAGATTTTTCAATCCTCTCCCTCACAGCTGGACATGGTCTCTCTATTTTATCCCTAATCTCTGCATAGCAGCTGTCCAGGGGAGAAGGTAATGTTAGATGAAGGCAAGAGAGCCTGCAGGCACTGGGTCTGAAACCGCCAGCCGACTGACTATATATGAACACTAGCCCCATCAATTCATTCGAAACACTTTTTATGTAAGACAGGGTCTGGATATTGTTTTGTGGAAAGCTCTGTGATAAGCCTCGACTAGACAAATGTATTAAAATTTTTTAAAAACATACGCCCTTTAAAATGAAAAAAATGTCTAAACGTTTTAATCAAATAATAGATCATGTTCAAGAGTGACCAGTTTTCTCCAGATATATGAACAGAGTGGCTTCACACTTCTACTTCTTTGTGTTGTAATTATCTACCAGCAAGTTGGTTCAAAGGTGACTTCATTGTTTTTTCCTTGTATACAAGAAAGCAATTTCTGGTCAAGGAAAACTCATGTGTTTCACACATCAATTTTTTGTGCAAATAATCTGATACTGTGATGTTTTTAGTCAATGTTATCTTACTGAGAGGCTCTCACACCAGCCCATAAATACTGTAAAGGAGTTTCCAATACTCCATGTCATTTTCATTCTGTGCAGTACGTACTGACCAACTCACATCTGCAGAAATTATCTTACCATACAGCTTATTGTGAATCAGAAGGGGCAAAATGAAATTCATGATAGCCATCAACAATTTTGCACACCAACAATCACTGATGAAACCAGATAGTTACCTACCTATAACACATGTTTTTTTTCTAGAATATTGCTCGATTCTTCTTGATATAATTAGTCAAACTACTTGAGACTTGCAGGCTGCCTTACTCACACACACGGTTTCAGCAAAGCCCACAAATTTTCCATGTTCCTGACATCAAGGCTTTTGGATGGCCACTTCAATATCAATATAGACTGCTTACATTACATAGGCATTCCCAAATTGTCTAGTCACAGTAGGTAAACTAAATCTGAATAAAATAGAAATGCGTCTATCCTAGCTGACTTAAAAGAGAAAAACATTGGACTTAATTCATGCCAGGCAGTGAGGGGAAAAAAAGAGGTGGTGTCTTTTAAAACTGTTTTTGTAAATACATGGTTTCATCTTGATATGGTTGGAGAGAACAAGTGTCTTAGCAATGATATGAAATGGTTCACTCACAAAATCCTGTTACAAAAACCAAATCTACTTTAACTGACAAGACTTGGATGCTTTGGAGTATAAAGGACACTGCTGAAAACATCCAATGACACTGTAGTGCCTTTACTAAGCTGTAGTCTGCAGGGGGCGTTGTATACATAACCAACGTTAAAAAAAATAAAAATAAAAATAAAAAAACTGAACCAGCTGGTCACCGTGGCCTGCTCAGATCTCTCCTCTGGACTCCGCAGAGCAGGCAGTTGAGACAAGCTAACATTAATCATAGAGAATAAATCCCACACCAAGCAAAGAGGGACTCTGAACAACTCCCTCACCATTAGACCATTCCTCTCACACAGTGGAAGCCTTACATAACATCATGTACAATTCTGAGAAATTGGAAGCTGTCGTTACTGCCAATGCAGACAGAGAAAGAGCTCACACCCTTACTGATTCCATAGTGTTCAGGGGAGAGAAGGACAGTCCAGGTGCGGCTAATTTAAGCACTTGATTAATTGGACATCCACAGGTGTGGCCATCTGTTTAAAAGCAGGAGTCTTGGCAGCCTGTTGCACTGAATCGTTCAAGTGTGCAACAATGCTGGAATGGAAAGAACTCTGCCAAAAAGATTAAATACAAGCAACTGTGCATCAATCTGAACGGGGTTATAAAGCCATTTTCAAGCTGTCTGAACTTTGTCATTTTACAATGAGAAAGTTATCACAAGTGGAAAAACTCAAAATTCAGAGAAGTGATGCACAGAAAAAAATAAAAATAAAACTATCCAAGACTTAACGAGCCTTATTTGCTATGTTAATGTTTGTAACAGCCAAGTAAGTATAGCTTGACTCGGGGTTGTAGGGGAACAGCCTCTTTGATCTAAAAAATATATATATTCAATAATATCCTTCTCGTATTCAAATGTGCATTAAATTTAACCACTTCTGGATATATGGACTTTTTTTTTTTTGCAGAGGTGAGTCCAAAGTATTTCTTTATGATTATGAGACGTATTTTGTAGATAGCTATATACATTATCTAAATTATGTTGTAGGTTTTAACAAAATAATTCAAAGGAAAAAAAAACACAAAAAATGTCAGATGTTTGATGAGATAGCTTACTTAAATACCGTAATATTGGAGTTGGTATCAATATAAGCAATACCAGCTGTGTATTTACTTGGCATCTAATCAATACCAAGAAGTGCCGTATATTGAGCATCTCTACTCTGTATACCCAATTCCAGACTGAAATTTGATGATTCAAATTTGAACTCAGCCTAAATTCATACATTGCCAATAAGATGCTGTTTTCTTGCTAATGCTTTCTAACACACTTCTGGTCTTTAGAGATCACTGTGTTTATACTAAGATCACATTTCACACATTGTGTATTCTATTAATGATATTACTTTGGGGCAATTTGCAGCACCTGACTGAATGTATTTGTGGTCAGAGTGAAGAGAGCTTGATACAAATGCACACCACATTTTTTTACTTCGCAATCATTTGTTATCTGTGTTGGTCTAACAGACAAATCCCACACACAATAGATGGAGGATGGGTTTAAAACATGACAAAAAGTTAAAATATTAATGCAATTAAGTACTCTGTGAATTTTTGTGTTGAGGGCCATATCAAATAAAAAATATATAAACACTTATTTTAATACACAATTTTCTGTGGTATTTAAAAACTCGAAACTAAAATCTTTTTTTTTTTTTTAAAAAAAAAACACTTCAGCACAGTAAATAAGCATAACTATGAAAGACAAGGTCCACAGAGAAAAATATAACAAATCTGACTTTTTTCCCCTCAGAATTCTGGAAAAAAAAAGAGAGAAAAAGTTCAAATTCTGATTTTAATCTAAAAATGTTTTTTTGTTTTTTTTTTTTTTTTTAAGAATTGGATTAAGGCTATAGGTGAACCCGGGAGCAACCAGTTTCAATGACAGAGATGTGAGTTAAGCAGGAGAACTAACTTTCTGTGGGAACATATCGGTTAAGTGATTTTGTACATCGTCGAGGATCCTGAGACATAAAGTTTTTCTAGTGAAAAAAAGCTTTCTTTACAGTTCTATTTTTTTTCATATAGAAACTTTGAGCATTCAGAGGAAGGCAGTGCACTGCGCCTTTTCGCTCCATCACAAAACAATACACAGGAAGTTGTGTTTGTCACTGGACCAATCAACTGTGAGGTTACTACAAGCTGTGGGTCTGTAGAAACAGCAGTCTTCTCTTTTATGACATAATCGTGTGTTAATCTACTAGAGTCGTTTTTGTTAAAATTAACTTTATAGAACCAACAATCTTCTAACATAACTGAGGTAAAGCAAGAGCACGGAAGCTAGAAAAGCCGCTGTTAGCAAACGCTGCTTAGCTGAGTTAGCTTAGAGGACATGAAAACCCGGTAGCTTACAGGAGCAGTTATTTTAAAGAAGCGACTTTTAGGGTGTGAAGATATGTTAATCAGAAACTAAACGTATTTGTGCTGACATATAGTGTTAAATAAGCCTATCGGATTACGAGCCCGATGTCTTTATATATCGGATTTCCTCATTACGCTGCGTGAATTTAGGCTAGCAGGATAAGGTTAGCTTAGCTGCTACATAAACGACAACATCCAGCAAACTGGACAAAACATTGGATTTAGTGGGCTTTAAATCGGGATCGGCGGGTTCGCTGACCCCTCAGAAGAAAATGAAGAAGAGGAAGGAACTGAATGCCTTGATCGGACTCGGAGACAGTAAGCGAAAGAAGACTAAGAAGGGGTCAGGGCACCGACTTCTTCGAACAGAACCACCGGGCTCGGAGTCAGAATCGAGCTCGGAGGATGATGACTTTAACAACTTGAACGGTGGAACTAACTTTGGAAAGTGAGTGATCTGCTGTTCTACACACCAGTATATGAATATATGTGGATTAATTGTAGGCATGTTCTAATTTATGCTAAATTGCTGTTCAAATTGCAACTCAAATATTCAACATCCTTTTCCTAAAATACTTCCCGTACGTACTCCTTAGATAATTGTCTGACCAATTATTTACATATTTTAAAACAAATGAATATCCGACCAATTTCAGCCTTAAAGCTACTAATGCTCCACTAATCTGGAACAAACGTCCAGAAAACTGCAAAAAAAAAAAAAAGCCCAAACACTGAGATCCTTCAAATGAAGGCTAAAGACCCACCTGTTCAGATTTTTTCTTTTAATTCATAATAACTGAAACATTGATCAGTATATTCGATGCACCTTTGCTTGATGTTTTTGAGGATGGCAGGACAAAATGCAATGTTTATTGTTGTTATATAATTGGTTGCTGTGTTATGTTTTTATGGCGTAAAACACTTTGAACGGCCTTATTGCTGAGCTGTGCTAAACAAATAAACGTGACTTGACTTAGATCGTCACCTTTGGCCCTTTAAATTGAATCCTGAATTTATTTATTGGGACAATATATTATTTATATTATTTCCACCCTAACACTGTTTTTGACCTGCCACATTAAACTTATTAACACGTAGCAATTCCTCTACACTGACAAGATTGGAAAGCAGAGTATTAATTACAAGGTCAATAGGCTCTGGTATCTGAAGGATCCCTACTGGGCATAGTTGATGGATGGATGCAAATACAGGGAAATTCTATAAAAAATAAAATAAAATAAAAAAACATCTGCTAGATGCTTAAAAAAATAGTTTAAGGTTCACCTTCAGTTTGCAGTTGTAATGTGATGAAATCACAATTCAGTGGGAATTAATACATTTATAAAAACTGGCTTTCACAGCTTAAATATCATTTCATTTTGAGCAAGCTTATTACTCACACACATGCAGCTTTCCAGGGGTCCAAATTATGAATAATAAAAGAGGCTGTGGAGTTTCAATGTCTAATGTTACATGTCCTTCCTTTTTACAGAAGAAGCTACTCACAGTGCTGCAACGTGTGCTACCCATTGTTTTTGTTCATCATACTAGCTGCCTGTGTCATGGCTTGTGCTGGACTCATATGGATGCAAATTGCACTGAAGGAAGATTTAGACTCACTGAAGGAAAAGCTGCATAGCAGTAAGTGTCACAAACCAGTCTGGCAATTAAACAACACAATGCCCTCAGGTCGTGAAACCTGTTAGTGTTCTTAAATCTAGTCGCAAGGTGTTTATTGCTCTTGGCACTGCTTAAAACACTTTCGGCACCTTTTTGGTTGCAGTGGAATCCAGCCAGAAGGTGTCATCGAGTGAAATACCCAAAATGAGCGAGGATCTGAAAAACAAAGAGAAAAAACTTGAAGACATTGAAAACGGGGACAAGGGATTGAGTAAACTCTGGTCTAACCTCACAGAAATGAATCGCAAGGTCAGTCACGCCTGCTACAAAGCTTGTAATCTTTTGTAATATTACATGCATCTAAAGGAAAAGACAGCGAAAAACATTGAACCGAATTACTGTATGGCGATTGCGGTTTGTGTAGTTTTTCCTCGCTACAGTTTCCACAGGTTTTTCTAGGAAATAAATCTTTCAAATAGTGCTCTGTCTAATCAAGCTCTTTAGTACAGGTTTATGACATTTTGACATCTATATGTCAGATTTAGTAACATTTGCATGTAACTTTCTAATAGTTATTCAGTCAGATTCAACATACTTTCTGTACTTTTAGCTAAAATGTTTTTGCTTTAACCCGCACAGATCACATCTCTGGATTCAGCTGTTAACCATTTGACAACCAGTCTGAAATCCTCTCCTGGTTTAATTGGCCTTCCGACCACTGTTGAAGAGCTTCAGAAGGTAAAACCAACAGAAGCTGGAAATGTGCTAGTTTTATTCTGATTTCAGTCACTTCAAGCGTTTTTCTCTGCTTCAGAGTGTCGCCACGATTGGCAGCACGCTCACAAGTGTACAGCATGACGTGGAAACAATGAAGGCTTCTCTTGAAAATCAGAAGAAAGACGATGAATCAAAGAAGACGATGGTAATTCTGAAATACTTTTGTTGTAGTTCCTGAATAGTCAGTTTAAGGTGGATTATTATGTGCAGCATGGAAGAAATAGTATCCAGTTCAAACCACCGTTTGAACACTAGGTTACACTTATTTAGGAGTTGGAGCATGTGTATGCCAAGCTGTAAACTTGTAGAAAAAATGGTTGCATATTATATGGCCATCTGTACCATCTGTTCTCATCTCCTGCTGATTGATCACTCCAAATCTAAAGCCTCTCTGCCCTCTGCTGATTAGCTGCAAGGAAATGGATCTTCAATCTTCTGTGTGGCATCACTGTCAGCCATTCTTGCATTAGTTTGGTGTGGGCTGCTTTAAAAGCAGATTAAGCTATTTAATCTGCTCATTTTGTTTCTTAGCACTTTGGACAAAGTAACAAAGGAAAAAAAAAATCAACTACCAGGTCCGCTTCTGAACAGGACATCTTTGTGTCATTACAGTTGCCATTACACCGTCCAATCATTAGATTCCTTTACTGTTTATCTCTTTTTGATCTATGTTGCACTTAAATTGTTTTCGCAAACAATGAAAGTTCCTATCTTTTATGACTATGACTGGTTTGCAGCCTCAAGCTGACTTCTTTCACATGAGTAAAGCTATGGACTTTTTTTTTTTTTTAGTGATCCAAAGTACATATGCACTTCTCTTGTTCAGCTATTTGTATTTCCATCTGCAGGCTCACTGCAAATACTGCTAAAGATGCCTTCTGTCAATGGCACCAAAAACGACTCAACAGCACATTGAGATTTCTGTAGTACATTGGCGAGACAAAACTGTAGTTTAATCTCCCTCCCTGATTCGTAACTGTGGCATTTGTCTTGTTTAAAAACTGAAGCAAATCTACTACCGTACACCCAGGCTCATTGTGTTGATCTTCCGAATCGCGGCATGAATCCAAATGAGGAGCGCTAGTGATCGCCACCACAGCCAGATTAATATGTGTGTTAACCCACGCATGTAAGCAGCTTGGCAGTTCTTGTCAAGCCTATGTTAGAGGAGTCGTTGGGATAAGAGGGTCCTGTCAGTTCTTTGGATCTGTGCCTTGGCTTTGCATTCATAATACATTAAACAACTGCCAATCTGTTTTGAGGGCTTAGATGCTATGAACTAAAACTAGGTCAGATTTCTGAAAGAATGGAAAAATATTTTCCTCATTTCTTTACAAGCACAACACGATGAAAGGAGAAAGTCAACAAATAATTTGTATGTGTGTATTTCCGATACCATGACCTCAATAATTTTGTCTTATTACCTATAGTTTTGCGAGCTCTGTCTAGAGCTTCTGAGAAGTACATTTCATCCCTGTCAGGAGTGGAAGTTTTGGAATGAGGCCATAATAAAAATAAATGAATAACAAACAAAGATGATTGCAGAAAAAAAAACTGTAATATCCTGGTTGCATTAGCGTGCACACCCTTTAACCAAGACTCTGTTGAAGATATATTTTTTTTTATTCTATTTTTCCAGATGAATGACGCAGACGTCACACAGTAGCACTTAACGAAGTAATAATGGATGCTGCAGTCTGTGGTTCGATTTTAACGTTGAGCAACTGGAGCCAGTGGTATCGTCACTAGATAATAGCAAGACGAAGGAAGCTAAGAAATGGCTTCTTCTGGTGCAGAGTTATGACTCATGTCTCGCGTGTAAACGTTGAATAAAATTCAACATGACCGGTGTGACTGCAGACGCTTTCAAAACTATCAAAAGCGTCAGTTCAGCTATAGAAATGGCACAGGTTGGATTTTTTTTGGGCCATATGGATTTGACCCCAAACTGTTCTTAACTTCATCCGCATACCTAAAACCTCAGGTTTCAATTGAGGGTACACAATATATTATAAATATGTTGTCGCAATGCCAGGGTGCGCTATACTTGCATCCCAAGAGACTGTTTGGAGTTCAGATACTGTCGTATTGTAACTGTTACGATGCAAGCACCAGACACGAATTACACAAAATGCTAAATATCATAGAACGTAGGAATAAAGGATGAGAGAGGGAAAATATGCACAAATCACAACTGATAACATTGCAATATTTATTCATTTTAAATTGCCCGCAAGATTTTCTAACATTGTGCAGCTCTTGTTGCGGCCAGCAAATCGTTAATTTAAGGGTGTGCGTATATACATTCAGGTTATTGCAGTATTACGGCTTTTATATATATATATTTTTTTATACATTTGTTTTTCATGTGAACTGTACATGGAATTATGTCACAGCATTGCAAAAATAATTTGTTAATTTATCACCGTTTCACTTCTCTGTATCACAAAAAATCTGATGTTTTAACGTGGCCACTCAATGTTGGGAAGTAAATATCTCCAGACACCTCTTCCTGTCTCCAGAGCTGTGCTCCGTTTTTGTTTGTGCAACTCTGAACTGCAGATATATTGACATCTTGCATACCTTTTGCAGGACATCACAGACCTAAAAAGAGCCATGGGTGAAGTCAATAAGACCGAGGAGCAGCACCATATGTGGACTGATGAGCAGATCCACATTCTTCTGTCTACTGTTGCAGACCTCCATCAAAGAGTGGCCTCATTAGAGAACGGGTCAAAGCACAGCGTGAGTCATACCCTAATTCTATGGTGGCTAAATTTATATATGCATGTATATGTTTTTTTTTTTTTTCTTCTGAATTTAGGTTTTATCCAAACAGTAGCAGATGGCAGTTGATCTAATCATCAGAATAACTAAATGCTTTTCTACAGATACATTTTTCTTAGCCAATTGTTTTCCTTATTAAATTTTTGTTACTGTCATCACTCTGTATGGGGGGGGGAGGGAAAGAAATTCTCAAATCTTCACAAACACTGTCTTAAGTCAACTTGAATACAATTGGAAGTCAATTGCCACTGATCCCCTTGTTAAAAATTCATTTCCTTGACGGAGCCGAACGCGCAATGAATTTGGGTTAATGAACCCCTTAAAAGTTTAACCATTCAAAGAAACGAAAAAAGACTGTAACAGCCAAATACTGAACTTCTAGTTGCAACTCTTTGAGTCCACAGATTCCAAACACACAGTAATTTAATTGCCTTCTTCCTGCCATGCAGTTGCAGTATAATGACACAGTAGCTTCACCGGCTGTTGGCAGTAAAGAGTCTGAAACTAAGACGGTGACAGAAACAACAACACTGAAAGAAACACCTCAGGATTTGGAAGGTATTGTGTAGAGAAGAAAAAAACAAAACAAAAGCAATTTATCCTCATGGCTTTCTTTGCACTCTGTAGCTGTTTAACATAATCTTCCTATGACAGACATGTCCACACCACTGACACTGCCTCAGACCAGCAGACGTCCTCGTTTCTTGACTCCAAGGCGATCCAGGAGGAATGCTGGAACAAAATGTCCAGGGAGGGTGTTGCTGCCTGGTGTCGCTTCTCTGACAGGTACACAGCGTGGACAGCTCTCCTTTCATTAAAGACTTGTGTTACTTCTTTAACAGAGCTAAGTCGGGATGTGTCTTGCCTGTTTATTCACACGTGGAAAACGTTGTTTGTTGCCTTGTGTAAAGTTTTAGTAAGTAGCACCAACTTAATCATCCATGTGTTTTCGGTTTTGGGAGAAAATCATTAATAAAGCACAGTCAAAAGAAAACATGATGATGTTTATTTAATTCAAGAGATCCCAATAATTTCTTGTCAGTTTGGCGTGAACATCGCTATTTGTTCAAATTGCAGAGCGTTCGAGTACATATACGTGTTCGTATTACTGCAATAGTTGTTCCTTTTCTAAAACACACTGAAACTCCATCGTTTTTATTTTTGCTTCTGAATTCTTTTCCAGACCTTGAAGGCGTCTACCAGAGAGCCGGAGTCGGACGCGACTCCCTCGGACTGACTCACCAAGACCTGAAGATGCTGTTCGGGACGTCGACTCCCAGCGAACGTGCGCTGGCGTGCTTTGATGACGGAGACCGGAGGTACTCCCTCGTGGAGCTGAGAGCTGCTGTGGGTTTGTGAGCGCGGCGTCACTGAGAGCAGAGAACAGTGTTGAGCACCCAGCAGGGTCTGGGAGCGGGTCTGGGATTCCCAACCCCTTACCTGTAGTTGCTGCACCTTCTGTGAACTGAGTATTTATCATTTTGATGGTGGTAAAAGTGGCACTGGTATGCCGTCCTCTCACACCTCTCCCCCAGCCCCACTCAAGTGTATTGTTGGCAAAAACAAATGATTTCTTAAATTTTAGCAGTTATCCAAACAGGCATCTGTTTGTAAAATTGGATCTTATTTTAACCAGTTCCGTTCCTGGAATCATGTTTATAGACCTTGAATAAGTCCCGTTTTCCACCCTAGGGCTTCAACTTGAAGTGTTTCTGTACCTAATTGTTTTTTTTGTTTGTTTTTTTATTTCATTCTGTCTCGTCCTGGTGTAATGATTATTGTTTAAGGTATTTTAGGCTGCACCTACCAGCTATCTCAGATGTTCCCACGTGTGTACACAAACACCTGGTACAGCTCAGCTAAAGCTTGTTTGTAGGATGTGGAGAAGGACTTTTTTATGAATGTTTACAAATGACTACTAGATATGGCTTTTTTGAGGTTTTCTTTGTGTTTTTAGACAGTTTCCTAACTTATCTCAGACACAATCAAGTATACGAACAGTCAAAACTTTTGTATGCTCTTTTCTAAGCTAAAACTAAAGTTTGAAGTGCTTTCCTCCGCCTTTAGAGTTGTGATCACGTACTTAGTCAGTCTGTGCATTTATCTGTAGTTTTGTTGCATATTGTTTTTGTTTTTCTCATTTCTTGACGTTTCGCAGATTTGAAGGGCTACGAACTCTTTCCAAGAATTTTTAAGGGGTTATTTATGAGGCATATGTAGCAATAAGTGAAGTACTGCAGTGGAATGAAGGCAGACCGAGCTCACAATATGTAACGGGTAGTGTGAGAAACACTGACCATCACTATTTACTTGATACATTTTATTGCATTATAAAGGACCTAATTATGTGTGTATTAATAAAATGACCATATTCAGACTTGTTATATTGTCAGAGGGGTTGGGTTGTTTAAAATTTAATCACAGAGATACTCGACGAGGCTTTTTTTTTTGTCGATACCGATTTGTTGTTCTACTTAACTTCTGACCTATTGGTTCAATAAAATATGCTAAAGTTTAATTGACAGAATTAATAGTTTAAAATCCATCAGATAATTGATTAATTGGGTCACAATAAAGATACATCTCAACAAATTAAAATGTCTTTGAAATTTTTATTTACTCCAGTAAATAAAGTCAAAATCCGATTCATTGCATATAGAGACAAATTGTTTGATAATTGTAGCTGACGGCAAAGGAAAACTCAAAATGTACTTTCTCAGATACTAATTTTGTGTTTCAAATAGGCTATAAGACCAATAATATATATAAAAAAGGATTTTATACTACTGGCCAACCAAAAAAGCCCAGGTACTGTCCAGTTTATGCACTCGATCTTGATTGGGTATTTGTGTCTCCCAGACATACTTTCATCATTCTCTTGACAATAAATCTGGAAAGTCTACTTACTAAACATACTGAGATAAAATGGTCTTTAAATGAGGTTTTGGTACTTTGGACAGTGTGCCAAATTCTATTGGAACATTAAATCAACAGTTTTCCTTCCACTCACCTTTCTGTAATATGCTTGCACAGAGCTCTCATTGAAGAGCCAGATTCTCTTGCTGTGGTACATTTCTATTCAAAATCCTTTTTCTTTGGTCTTTAAATATTTAAATTTTCTGAGAAGCTAAAATTTGGGTGGGTCTTCAGTAGCTGGAAGGAATCATCAAAATTACCAGAAATAAACACTTTTACTGTTTTAAATCGTAGGACTTTCATTTTTCCGTTAAATTCCTTAAATAACCTTTTGATATTTCAGGTTTGATGCACTTTTATGCTAACATGTTCATAATCTTAGCTAAAGAAAATGCATCTGACTACACACTCAATTAATACCTCTAGACCAAAAATGTTGTGTTCTCCATTTTTATGCTTTAAATTAAAAAGGTATTAGGGATCTAACTGCTCTGCAATTGATCTTATCAAAGTAATATTTACCATTTGATTATGGCATGTTTGTTAAATTCACCATGTTAACATGAGTACATGTATAAATTAAATGTTTCTTTTCAGGATGAAGCTTTGTCAAGCTTTTGTGTCGCAGAGATTTTTGGGTCCACAATGCAACTGTAAATGAGATTTTACGAATGTTTGTTGTTTGAGCACCAATGAATAAAGACAGTTAAAGGCTTGAGTTTCTTGTGGGTTGTTTTAAGGATACATTCAGAAGCTTTGATTTTGTGTGGCATGTGTTTTACTGTAGTATTTATTTTTTGCATGACTGAAAATTAAATTTACAAAAGATCGCGACTTTTAGCAAAAATTATGTACAAGTTTCATGTCTGAGAGCAAATTTATCAACACTCTTAACAAAACCAGGTTTTACAAGAAGAGCTCTAGGCCAGAGCCCCTTTAGCCCTCCAGTCCCGGGACAAAAGCCCCAGCAGCCCCTCTTCATCTTCTTCTTCTCCCTCCTCGTCCTCCTCATTGTCATTCTCAGTCTCCATTTCTTCATCCTTTCTTGGCCCTGATTTACTTTTCAAAACATCCCGCTTGTCCCTCAGCAGTTCCACCCTTTTGTAACACTCGATCTGTTCATCAATCTCGTCGATCTGACGCTCAAGGCGTCCCTCTTCATCGTCCTCTGCCACGATGGCCTCAGACTTTGTGTTCACCTGTCGGATCTCCTTCTGAAACTCTTCCCACTCCTTGTCCATCTGATCTTTTGGGGCGTCGACGTTCCGCACTTTGGCGTCTCTGACCGGATCGTCGAAGAAGCCCTCCGGCAGCGCCTCGGCTGTGTTGTCTTTCTTTTCGGGAGTCTTCTCCGGTGCGTCTGCTTTGAGGATAGATCCTGAGTGGGAGATGGCGGGCGTGGATGGGATGGAGCTGTCAAAGAAATCAGCTGGCAGCTCTTTCGCGGGCTGCGCTGGGACATCGGCTTCATCGGCGTCTTCGTCGCCGTCCTCGTCATAAACTCCTGCTAAGAGGCTCAGTCCTGCAGATTTCTGCGTGGAAGCAGTCGCCTTTTCGGAGGGCTTCTCAAAGTCTCCAGGCAAACCCGACTCAGACTGACCTGCTGGTTTGGCCTTTTTTCCAACAGCTTCCACGCTGTCCTGTGTTTTCCTTTTTACAGGGAGACTCTGCGATACAGCTGGTTGGCTCTTTCCTTCTTTCAACTCCGCAACCTTGTCTTTATGCTGCTTCCCCAGAACATGAGCTGGCCACAGAAGTTCAGACTTCACCTGCACAGAGCACAGGACACAGCTGAGGTGACCCAAACTGTTGTATTTGGCGAAGGGAGATTCCACGCGTTTCTTCTCCGTGTTCTGTCGTTGTTTCTCCCTCATCAACCGCCGGAGTTCTTCTTGATTTACTACTTTTTTCCCCTTCTTGGACGTTGCCATTCTTGGTAACGAAACGTGTTAGCTTAGCTAGCTACTTGCACCACAAACAGAAATGTCGCGCTTCCTCTTGTTTTTGCTCTCACGGCTCGTCTCTTCAGCGCCACCATCTGGAAGGGAGTGAAACTCAAGGATTCACCAACTGTGAAGCTGCACGGTTCTGTAATCGGGGTTAAATACACAGACTTGAAAAGTCAATAATTTTCTTTTATCATTTTTAAGCCCGATATATGGGGTAAAATTAGTCTAAGTTTCCATATTTTTTTATTTTATTCTATTTCCCCAAGGAGATGAGAAATGCTCCCACTTAAATCCAGACACATTTTTCCTCTGTTTATCAGACAAAAATAAACAACACTGTTTATTTTTATCTGATTAGCTGGGGGCTGCATTCTGGAAGCATTTGTTTATTATCCTTTATGTGTTTCATTCCATTTGTTTCTGACTTTTGCTGTTTTACAGTGCATTGCAAAAGTGTTCAGACCAACACAAGGAGTGCTTCTTTGTGAAGTAGAAGTAAAAAAGGCACAAAGTTTTCTGAGTTTTTTTTATGAATCTTAAAATTGTGACATGCATATGTATTCAGTCTTCTTTCTAATGTCACTAAATAAAATGCAGCGCATACTGTTCTCATGAGTCTCCTAATTACTCACTCTGCTTGTTTGTAATTCAATTTCAATATAGGTGTTTACTGAAAACTTTTTTACAAATATATTTTACAGTGATGAAGTAAAATCAGATAGAAAGATTTCACGAATCTCTTGTACATATAAATCTGAAATGTATTTAACCCGACAGCAACAGGTTTGGGTTGTTTACGGCTCTTGTTTTTCTAACACATTTGCTGTTCTTTAATTTACTTATCAGATGTCTATCAACACTCTTGGTTTAACCATCCGTTTTTTTTTGTTTTGTTTTTGTTTGTTTGTTTGTTTTTTTAAGGAAATATGAGGAGTATGGCATTGTAATTTAATTTATAGTCCAAGGGAATCAGTTCTCTTCGATGAACTCAGCCAACTGATTTGGATCTCGAAACAGAGCCATAAATCTCACGGCTAGTTTACATTCAGACCCAGAGCAGTTTGAGCAAACCTAATTTCCATGATATCGCGAGATCTGCTCGCAGTGTCGCTAGCGAGAACGTTAGCTCAGTTGTCTTATTGTACCAACCTGTCCGCCCGACTTTTGCTGCAAAGACTGCACCGATTTTATTTTAAATCGTACATTTAAAAGGTGGTAGAAGACACAACGATGTAGTCGTCTACAGGTTGCTTTAGCTTCTCTCTTTGTGTTCATTTTGTGCGTGTGTGTTCTGTTATGTTTAAGGTTAATTTCTGTATTCATCGCCGCACCCATCGTATTCATTTTTTATTTAGGGCTAGCAAGCTAACGGATGATAGAAGCTAATGTTGGGGTTCAGCCTGTCACCAAGTGCAACAATATTTAAATTATAAAAAGAAAAAAAAAAGAAAAAAAACTAAAAAAAAAGGAGTCCGCGATTGTTTTCTTTTATTGTATATAAGGACTTTTGTCATGTTCACTTTCATCTTCACCATTTTGTAGTAGCTATAGTAATCCAACTGACGCACGGTAGTCATCATGACAGGTGATAAGATACGCACCATGCGGAAGGATCATAGTAAAGCAAATAAAAATGAAGCGATAATGGACACCTACGATGAGACCTCCAACGGGACGGTTCCTAATGGTAATAGTAACCTCTTCAAGTCTAACAAGGCTTTTCAGAAATCTGTCAAATCCTCGGCACTGCAACAGCAGCAGCAGCTCAATGCGAACAACATAAACGGCAACGCATCAGTTGTGAATGATGACAACAAAAACCCAATAATCCTGACGAGTGAGGAGCTGGAGTTCCCAGTTCATGAGTGTGTGTTCAAAGGGGATGTCCGTCGACTCTCCTCTCTCATCAGGACCCACAGCATCTCTCAAAAAGACGTGCATGGTAATCTTTTTATACTTGCCCCATATATTGTTTTTACTTAACTATTGTCCCAGACTGTATTGATGCATTTTATTAAATTAGAATGTAATCAAGTTCATTTATACCAGTTATTCCATTATAAAAGTAAAACTTATTTTATATAAATTAATTACGGAAAGGGGGATGTAGGTTTCTCAGCTGCTTTTCGTTATAATGTACAGCTAATTATGAAAACAAAAGTTCAGTTTCTCAAAAAAAATATTAAGTAAAATAAATAAAATAGCAATTTAATGTGATTGATTTCACAGTTGGCAGCAGATAATCATTGACACATCTACAAGGTGTTCAGGCCACTAAATTACACTTTGTCCTTCCACTTAACTTTCCATGAATATTCTCAAATACAGCACACTGAACATCCACCTTCTGGCTGCATAGTGTTCTTGGAAGCTTACACTGTATCGTAGATCTATATTATAATTTTTACTTTTTGATTAGGATTACTGAAATAAATTCAAATTGCTATGACTGATGTTTCTATGTGTCTGTGCCTTGGACCTGTATTAATTTGTTTTTCTTCGTAGGGAACACACCTCTTCACCTTGCTGTAATGTTGGGCCACAAAGGTAAAGCAGAATAACTTAGTTTTTTTTGTTTGTTTTGTTTTTTTTAGTTTTTATCTTGGATCATTTTTTCAGAACGCTTCTCAAGTACCATAAGTGTATGCCAGTAAATTAGGCGTAATCTGTTTTTATTGTGAAATGTAATTGAGAGTGCACCACACAACCTTGGAACCAGGATTTTAGCTAATATATTTTACATGTGATGCGTTCACACTCTGCATTAAAACAATAAATCCAGTCTTTTGCATCTAGTTGTGCTAATAAAGAGAATTAGAAACGTGGATTCATTGAAGCTTTTTATATTTTAAACCAGCTCCGTGGCATTGCACAGCAACTGGTTTCTGGCGAGTG